TTGTCATTTTCGCTTTTAGTACAAACTTTGTTCCCATGGGAAAGATATCGACTAGCTTGGATGAATTTGTAACGGCTCTTGTTGTGTAGTTAGAAAGCCAGAAAATTCATGATAGTTATGGGGCATTATCTGCTTTTTACATGTTATTATTCTATGTTCTTTGGTGCATTATTTAATTAAATAAAAACTGTTTAGTGCACTACTACCATAAGTATAATAAAAGTAGGGTTAAGTGTCATCGAAGTGGTCAGCAAAAAAAAAGGGGGGGCCCAGGTAAGTATTTTATTTCTTGTTTTTCATGTATTCTTTATTTGTTATTATAAAAGTAACTAAAATGTAGAAATAGGAAACTCTTTAGGTTAGATTAGGTAAAATAAATAATAATAAAAAATCTGAGTTTGTGGGTGGCTCGTGGGCCGTACGTTGCACATGTCTGTTTTAAAGTGAAAACATTAATAAAACCACATAAATGTAGTTTACAGAAAGAATGAAAATAACTGGTATTCTTTCATAACTTCCTAAAACTTACAAAGAATGATTCTGTGTTGTTTATCAAACAGAATGATTCTTCATTTATGTTGTTAATAACAATGCCACACAAAATCAGATAGGTTTTTTCTTGCTCTTTGGTGATACCACATCACTAATGATAAATTGTAGTTGTAACTTTTTAAAAATAAATAACACCTTTAGTAATTCACATTTCAACAACTGTTATTCAAATTACAAGTATTAACTGTACTTTTTTTTATTGTGTTTAGGATGAGAGAGTGCCATGATCATATTTTGCTCTTGCAAAACAATCTTTTTTTTCAAATATGAATGTAGCTGAAGGTTAGATATAAATATATTTGTAATTTATTATAAATTGGTCTTAATGTCCAACAGTTTTATAATTCTAAGAGTTTAAGTAAAAAAAAGAATGCATAACAATTAGTCAAACACACTATTTGCTATATCCAGTGCCGACAAGGGTTAAGACAGATAGTGGTTGAGATGCTATTTATATTACCAAATGTAGGAACAACTAAGTTGAAGGTTGCATTTATTGATGTAGGACACAACCTACTAACACAAGCTTTTAGGAAATTAAAGTTTACTAATTAGCTTTAGCAACTCAGTTGAGATATAAATTGTGAATTTATTACCACACATGTAAATTGGCTTTCATCTAATTAGACCACTAGTATGAATATTAAGATACAATTCTATTATTTAAACTTGCTTTCATTTACTTGAATAAATGAAAATCTTGATTAACATTTGTTATGTTGGCAGACTATTACATTGTGTATTATTTTATGGTACGTACAAGTTTAGAAGTTGACTTGTGTAACGTGTTGCTGTTGGTGATACTCTGCATGTCAATTGTTTATGGTGATTCTATTTTAAAAATGAAATTTATACTAACTGCTTGTTTCAGGATGATCTTAACAGTCCTCTTTGTTTGGAAGAAATGGATGTAAGCAATGGGGTGATGGTGCCGTTTTATGACCCAGATGTCAATCTACTCTTCCTTTGTGCTAAAGTGGGTGGAAAGTATTTTGTTTTGTTTTTTCTTTTCAAAAGGTATTTCAGGGTTAGAGATCCCACGATTTTCAGAATTTTAAAAATACTCAATTTATCACTGATTATTTATAAAGAAGTTTAAAAAAAAAGCTACTTTCTAAATATTATTTTAATGTAATTTTCAATCTATAACTGAAATTAAGGTTTTTGTAAGTTTTAAATCGATTGCTGAGAAATCTTAATATAAATCAGTATGTATTAATAAGTTTTGTGTTTTGGATCAAAAGGGAGACAGCAACATTCGTTATTTTGAAATCACAGAGGACGCTCCCTTTGTTCACTACATCAACACCTATCAGTCCAATACTCCACAACGAGGCATGTGCATGATGCCAAAACGTGGCTGTGACATAAGTCGGTGTGAGATTGCTAAGTAAGAACTCTTGCTGTTTGTGTTAATACAGTTGAGAAATTTACAACCTAACATTAAAGAATTTGTAACAATTTAACTATCTTTCAACCATGCTTAGGTAGGATGAAATTTAAAAATTTTCTGAAGTAGGAACAGATAATGACTGTTTTATTTATTTTAGATAATACGCACTATTATTGTAATCGAAGTAGCAATAACAGGAAGAGTAATGAGTGGGAAAGAGTTTTGAAATTCAAATGAATGTTTCTTTTTTATAGATTGTTTTTATTATGATTTTATGATCTATTAATATTTAAGCTGTTATATATTTTCAACAAAAGACTATAATACTAGTAAATTGATAACATGAAATAATAGATTTTGGTAAAAGTGATGAGCTTCCTTAAGTGTTAAGAGAATTAAAAAAAATTTTTTTTTATACATGCTCTCAGCCATCAGTCAGTTGAGATATACCTAGAACATAATAATGTTGATACCGAGCAAAAATTGTAAAATATTATCATTTTTGATTATTGAGTAGTTTAATATGATTGTTTTATGCTGTTTTAGGTGTATTCGACTGCACTCAAATGGCTTCTGTGAAGTCCTGTCTTTTACTGTGCCAAGAAAGGTTTGTTTGCTTTACACTTAAATAATAAAACTAAAAAAGTCAAGTTGACTTGTATTGCAGCAAAAAAGCTTTAATTACATCATTGAAACTGCATTAAGTTAAAATATTTTCACTGTACTGTTTGAAATGTTCTGAGAAAAAGTATTTTCAGTGTTCATATCTGCATTAAACTACTATGTTCTTCAATAATTTTTGGTTCTAGATGTTATATCAACTGTAAATTAAACAGAATTATTAATACATTATTTAAAGAATAGCATAAAAAAAAACATCCAGCAAATTCTTTAAGTGTTTAACACTAAGTAAATCTCAACTGTGTATAGTGTTTGTAAAGAGACGATGCATTTATGTTCTATGTTTATACATGCTAAAAATTATATAGTAAGATATTATCTGAAATATATTCTAATATGTTAAAAATGTGGGAAATAAAACAAGAGATGAGAATTTTAAGTCTAATATCCACACCATGTTTCTTGATAGCTATTTTAATTTTGTGAGACAACCACCCTAGTTGCTAGGCCACACTGGCCTGAATCTGAAGAAATTTGTATTAACTAACAGCGATAATGAGGAACCATAATGACAATATTTCAATAACTTAGGTAGTTGGAATAATTAAAAATAGTAATAATTGGAAAACCTAATTTTGATTAATTGATTATTTTCGTGAGATGTGACTCTAATCAAGTAATTAGCTGAACAAAAATATTAATTCATCGAAAATAATAATAAGACATCATAATTGAAATATTGAGATTACTTGGATTGTTGGAATAATCAGAAACACTAATTTTGATTAGTTGATAATTATATGTGATACCAATCAAGTTTATCAATACTCGTAGATAATCAATTAATCGACCACCTCTAGCCAAGTTGGTAATCAACATGTATAAGAGTTGTGGTTTCAAAGATGGTATGATCAAAATGCTGTTGTACATCTTTGTTTACAGTCGGAGCAGTTCCAAGATGACTTGTATCCACTAACAACAGCTGATGTACCAGCCATTTCTGCTGAGGAGTGGGCCGAAGGAAAGGATGCTGACCCGGTTCTTGTAAGTATGAACTCTTACATAAAGTTCTTAGTTTAACCCCTAACATTCAGCTTTATATCACATGTCATAACCTTTTACAGTGTTACATTCAAAATTTGATTAAACAACTTTATTAGCAATGTATGTCCATTAACTTGGCATTAAAATGTAGTTTGATTCAAATTTGTATATTATTTAAGTTTTCACTTTCTAGTTATAAAAATAAATACTAAAAATTTCCAATTTTCTTTATTCTTCTGTGTCACATGATGGGTTTGAGCTCTGATTTGTCTCTTTCAGTGTTCTTATAACATCAAAATTAAGCTGCCACAGTTTCCAACCAATTAGAAACACAGACAATACATAATTACAACCATGAACATAAAATTTGAACTTCTTGATTTGCTGATATATCAATAAATTTGTCAAAACCCATCAGAGAAGTTCCTCTCCACTCTCCCTGACTTTCAAGATTGTTTGTTTTCAAACAATTTATAACAAAAGGAAAGAGCAGATTCTCCTTTACATAAAACTTGTGAGTCATTGTTTAGTTTTCCCACCATATACTGTTACTCATTTTTTTTTCGGTTTGTTATGATCATATTTTGCTGCTATGAATGCTAAAGGAAATTTTATAACCTATTTGTAGCTTGCTAAGAAAGTTGGATAAATTATAGTAGTTTTAGGTGTTCTATACTAGTGACTGATACATTTTTTTTAGTCTAAGATGCATATTTGAAAGCTTTATGCATTCTTTTTTTGGACACCCAAATTTGTGAGCTTTACCTAACAAAATTTGAGTCAAATAAAATATCCAAATGTTCACAAGCTGAGTGTGTGTGTGTGTGTAACATGACATCTTGCAACGCTATGTTGTTGACATTAACCCTAAAGAAAATAGCTATTGTGCTTCCTTTGTGATTTATTGCTTTTAACTTGAAGATTACTGCTCTAGTTGAGAATAAGTTTAGCAATAAAGCCACAAAGTTAAAAGGAAGCAGATGTAAAATGGTTAACAGATGAAGCTGACAAGATACGAAATATGGAACTTTTTGATCAATACAGTAGTAAGTATAGTAAGAAAGTTTCTGTATATGACATGTTAAAAATATATATCTAGTAATTTAACCATCTATTCACAGGCTTAGTCAAATTGGCTGATCCTGTATCCGTGAAGTGATACAAGATAATGCTTACTATAATTCTGAACTTTCTAAGCCTTTAGTAAACATTACAAGTCTGTTTTACACACACAAAAGTCTGTCTGAGTAAAAGGTTATTTTCTTGCTAAGAGTAACAGTATATTTTCATCTTAAAGTTTTCATATTTAATTTGAATAACCTCTAGAACCTCCTAAATGAATATCAAAAGTTTTTATTTTGTAAAACTTTATATTTTCTCTCTCATTTTTCTATACCTTAACACTAAATGCGGAAAAATTAAAAGTTTAAAAATATGAACTAAAATTAATTATATTTTTTCCTCACAAATAGATGATGATTGATGGCTAAATTTTGTTGTGTTATTTGAATTTTGCATTTAAAGAAGAATTGTTATGTATATAAAAATGGATAATTTTTTTTTACTGTATTTGTATTTTACTTTGTAAATACATTTATGTTGTATAAATCATTTTTGAAGCATATTCTTAGCTTGTTGTTTTTTTTTCACTTCTTTTCATGTAAGCATTTTTCAAGTGTTCCTATAAAAAAGAAATTGGCTCCTGGAGGTTTCAGTTTCAGTTTGTACATTTATAGGTATCACTAAAAGAAGGTTATGTTCCTAGCCAAAAACAAGAATTGAAAGTAACAAAAAAAGCAAATGTTCTGGATAAACTGTCCTCTAAGAAGGCAGAACAAAGTCCAGAACCAGCCCTTCCTAAGCCTGTAAGTAATACACAGTGAAGAACTTTGTAATTTAAATTAATAATTTTAGAGTATTTCTTACCAATTTAACTGATGTTAAATAAATATTAACCTTTGAATAATCATGAACGAAGATCACTCACTATAAAAAATAATAATAATAAAAAAATATATATATATATTCAGAAAGGTCTGAAATTGCTTGATGTATTTACTTTGCTGTTTCACTTTCTTATGCTTATTACATTCTTATGTGAAAACATATATTGTGTGACTAGCTTCAAGTTAGTGTCATTAGGATGTCGGCTTTTATGTCTTTATTTAATGGGTAGATTGCAACAGCTGTTATACTTTAGTAGTAGTAATTTTAGGTTTTGTGTAAGAACAGTATTTATAATGGGAAGAATTTATTACTTTTTGTGGCCGTGGGATTTGGAGTGGTCTCTGATGTTAAACTTTATTAATTTTTTAATGCAAGGAGAAGAAAATTCATTGCCGTGATCCTTATATAAATTGCTGAATTGATATTTTTACTTTCAAGGTGTAGTAACGTGAGTGATTTTTTTTAAACTGAAATGTGTATTGTAACTTATGGTGTCTAATAAAAACAGAACTCATGGTAGGTGATATAATTATATGGATTTACAGTATGCCTGGTTACCTTATTCACATAACATGGAGAACTTTATATAAAGGAAACTTTTTTGTTAAAACTAGTTTTTTGACACCTTTATTTATCAAAGTATTTTCAACATCTTGGTTTGAAAAAGTAGATTTATAACTTCTCATCATTGTGATTTAACACTACATAATTCCATGATAGTAAATAAGCAAACTGATTACCTTAGTGTGTATACAATAGTTTCACCAAACCATTACTGCGGTAATCACAGTTTGCTTAAAACTTTAAATGCAGTAATGGTTTGGTGAAACTATTGTATACACACTAAACCAAACTATTACTGCGTTTTAAATTTATATATCAATTTATGTAATCTCTGTTGGGTACTTATATATGAATATCAACTAATTTCTTCGTTTTAATCAACCTTTTTGTATTCATTTAATTTTTTGAAACAGGACAAAAAGATTGAAGAATTGATGGAGGAAATAAGAAATCTAAAATCTACTGTAAATGAACATGAGCAACGCATCAAGGAGTTGGAAAATAAGATTGAGGCAACATGTAATGCTTTCTCAGAACACACCCAAGTTTTAAATAACCATGGTGAAGACGATCATTTAGCTGATGAGGTGTAAAGCTGTTGAATTTACATTTTAAGATTATAACTGTAATTGCACAGTATTTCCTGTGTCACAGAACATACAGTTGCAAGAAAGCGTTCTTAATTTTGTTTTGTTTTATGTGAACAGGGAATGTGGCAAACAGTCAAGTTTGTACATAACATTGAAAATCTATATTTGAACAACCCTGTCACATAATTTTATAATAGCAATTTTTTTTAAAGACAATTATAAGCTGTAAGTAATATCATAAAAGCTCTGCATGCAATCTGCCTGGTTCTGAGGAAAGAAAATAATGAGATAGTGACATTGACCAACTGCTCTGGGAAGCTGGTACCGTAAACATCAATAAGAACATGTATGCTAGCACACCATCTGTAATATGCTGATTATATATATACTGATATGTAATTAATTTGCATGGATACTTTACATATGATTTGTATTCAAATATACTTCTATGATGACAATGTAAAATATGTTGTTGTTTTTCTCTGAAGTTCTGACACAGTCAACTCCACTACTCTGTGGGTATTAATTTCATTATTATTATTAATACTACTAATGTAAAGGCTTTTTTATGCTCAGAAAGGTGCCAAGTTTTCAAAGTTGTTTGATGGTTTTAATTAGAATTATTAAGTATATATATATAAAGATTACTAAATATGCACCACACTATAACTTTATTATGTTTTTATTATAATTTTTTAAAACTGTGCTGGATACATTGCTCTGAGTTTCAAGATTGGTTGTAATTCTGTAACTTTAATTGTATTTTAGAGCATACATTTAGTTTTACTGCATTTTCTCTTAATTGAGACATTGATTTGTCATAAAGCTTTCCTTTGTTGTTCAAAGCAGGTAAACACATTCAGTATTTCTGTGTGAATCAGTTTAGGCAGATTTATATAACCTAAATGTCTACGAGTCCGTACTGGTTGATCTTTTATATAACCTTTTTTCTGTGTGTGTGTGTGTGTGTTGAAAAATACATCTCCAACTTTTGTTGATTCACATTTCATGTTAAATCAGATAAACCTGTTATGCAGCCCTTTTAATGAGTTCAACCATTTCAATTTATCCATACGCTTTTTCTGTGTCACTTGGCTAAGGTAAACTTCTAAGAATTGTTCACTTTTGTTCAATTACACAAACCTGAGGAACACTGTGAAGAACTGTATAAAACATTACTTTCAGCACAAACTTCTCAGTTTTACTAATGTTCCAATTAATCTTCACAGGTTTACAAGGAAAATCTAGAGAACGTAGATATCTTAAGTAAAACAGGTTTTATCCATAATTTTTGGTATAACTTAAATATACATATTACTAAAGAATTAATTAATGTGTTTTAATGTCACACAAATTATAAGTTTATTGTTCTCCAGTGTGTTTTAAAATATTTTTTACTATGATCATAAATTTTTATAGTGGCATTTTGTTTACTTGGGTCTTGTTTTCTATTTGTCATCGTTTGTAGTTAATATGAAATATGGACTCGACAAAAGAAATTGCATCTTTTAGTCTTAAGAAGATAAACTATTCTTTTCTGTTTTATATTAAGATGCATTTGTTCCTCAACTGAATTTGATTTGTTTCCCATGTCGCCTCCGCCAAGTATGCTTTGGTGAACTAGAAATCATAAGTACGGTAGTTTTGATAAGGTTTATATTCTGGCAAAATAATTGAATTAAGTTTCATGGAAAATATTTTTTGTAGTGCTTCCAGAGTTTCTTTGGAATTTTTTTTTTGTTACACATAGTTTTGGAATTAATATAACATTCCAATTAGAAAAGATAGTTTTCAGAGTATAAGCATTTTAGTAATGTGCAAGTTTCAACATTCCTGTAAAATGTTAGTAGTATCACAAGAACACAATCCATGCAGGTCAATTTAATCAGTGTCGAGGATTAAACTCAAAGAAGAGTTAGAGGCACAGAAAAAAAAAATCAGGTAAGAAAATGCAGCAGAAAAGATATGGTACAATAGTAGAATATTAGCGTAGAAGTTCTTTTTTTACTTAAAATAATTTGACATAGTGACATAAAATTAAAAAAGTGTTATAGAAATTTTAAGGAAAGTGTTTTTTTACTGAAACAGAACAAGGACCCAAAAGTTTTCTGATTCCATAACTTGAAATGTATTGTTGTTGTTTTTTATTCATTCAACATGCACATTTTTTATTCCATTTGTGTGATTTTTAATGGTTTTTTTTTCTAGTTTATGATGATATTCTATTTTTTGATCAGTCAGAATATTGCTTGAAAAAAAAAAGTGTTACAGTTATAACTGTTCGAGTACATTACTCAAACAGTTTGCTGTTTCTTGTACAAAACAATTGTTTTATGACAATATTTGAGAGTTATAAACATTTTAAAGAAGGAATTTTATTTGATATATTCCATAGTTATATATTTTCATTAACAATATGGTAATATTTTTTTATATATATGTATGTCAGAAATTTTTGACTTTAGAAAAAATGTTATATTAAAAATTCTTCTTTACAGCAGTACAAATATGTAATGTAGGATTAAACTGAAATGTTGGAAGATAAGAGATTTGAGTTAGTTTACTGTTTATGTAATTATCAGAATATTAGTAGTTTAAAAATAATTATCCACTTTTTTTTTTCTTGTATGCTATTTACCAGTCTGGTTATTCTAGAATTCATGAAGCAATTACGGTGTGTACTTCCAAGGAACTTATAACCTACATAAAAATATTATAAGAGAATTTATGCAGTACTACACAAGTTGATTATTTGAAGGCAACAAGAAAGTTAGTCATAAATTTATACAGAAAAGGCTTTTAAGTTGCATACACCACAATAAGTAAAGAATATTGGGCAAAAACGTTTTTCTCCAAATTTAGGAAAGCAAATTTTTTTTTTACACAGAAAAGGCTCTTGTCAGTTTATAGCAACAGTCAGTTTATCCGAGATTTTTTTTTTCACTTTAGGATTTTTTAAAGTAAAAAACCAGGAAATGTTTAAGAGGGGATTATTATTTGCTAATATGTAACATGCCAAGTTTTTTTCGTTTTTATAACATAATTTTGTTCACAAATTGAGTATTACCACCAGTTTTCAAAGTACATTTCATCTATTGCAATCTGCACAAAACTTTCATTATCTGTTCAGTAGGGCTATCATAATTCAACTTTAAATGATGAATCAATCTTTTTTCATTCATCCAGATGTAGTTAACAAATTGTTGGAGCTTTAAGGATTTTGTAATCTCTTCTACCAATTTTTTAGCAAACTTGTAACCTTTAAAAAACAATCCAAACATAACTGGAGTGGCTTTTTTATTAATTTTTAATAAGAGCTATGTAGTGTTTTATATGCATTCCTACTGATTAACTTTATCAAAGTCTAGAAGTGGGAGTTTCGGTTCCATGTGTCCTATCTATGCAAAATGAAAGTGTTTTTTGTTTTTGTTAAAATTGTGTCATGATTTTTAATATTCATACATATATTTATGTTTTCTTATTAACATTAACAACAGTTTCTAACTACGTATACAAAAACATTTTCATATATAGTGAAAAAATATATATGTTAGTACTGAATATATCGGTCAGATATTTAAAAAGCTGTAAATACTAACAATTTACCATATTTTCTTTTTTTCTGTATAAATTCTTACAAATTATACTATGTTTTGTTTTGCTGTGATACAATTAACATGTTTTGATTGAGTTACATGGGTCAGTTAAAAAAGTGCAGACTGTGAAAGATATGAAACATAAATCTTGAAACTGTAATCACTTGTTCCTTCAAAAGTTCTTGAATGTTATAGTGGGACCAAGTCCGAGCAAGATTGTTTTAAAGTTTATTATTGGTTGTTTACTCATCTCATACTCTACACCAGATGTCGGTGTTTATCTAACAAAATAAATGTTGTTCAGTAACAGTTGGTGTTTTTGAAAATATGTTTCTGTAGGAGAAGTAGTTTTAACTGAAGCATTCTACTTTGAAATACCAAAGTTATAATCACTATTCAGAATTAAAGTTACTATAATTTATTTTAAGGTTAACTTTGATTAAACTAGCAAAAGGTACCTAAGAAAGCCAAAATTTTAATGATAAACATTGTTAGATAATATTCCTGTTCCTGCTTTCTTTTGTCATTAAATCCCAAATAACTTCATTAGATGCTAATTGCATATCCTGCTTTGTAAAAGATGATAATTGACTCATTTAACTGATTAAGTAGTCTTTAAATTCAAAGCCACAAATCCATAAAAATGTAGAAATATGCCCTATTTCAGGAGCTTTTTTATTTTCCTTATTTGGTAAAAATTCTGAAACAAAGTAGCCAGTACATATCATTGGACAGTTTGTAATTACAGTACAAAAAATTACAGTAATCGAGCCAGTCAACTCTGTGTGATAAATGCTGACACACAAACATAATGGATCATCTTTACAGTAAGATACTCATAGGTAACTTGCAATTTACCATTGTATACAATACTTGCAGTCAATAAAATAATGTTTAGATAAATTTTCAAAATATACTACTTTGAAGTATTTTTAAAAACTAATTAATCGGCAAATAAAAATCATGTAAAGGATAAAACTTGCATGGTTATTTTATTACTTTAATGCGGTTTGTTGTTCAATAAATATTCTTTGAACTTCTTATGCAAATATAAAACGTTTATGTGTGAATTAGTAAAGAAATGGGAAAAAAATGGAAAACTTCAGTCAGTTTTCAATAAATATGGCTATTTTCTGTCATCATCTTTTGCAGTTTTCACCAAATCAATGAAATACTCTTTCATAAAGAAGAATATATACTTTTAACCCCTTAGAGGCTAAGTGGTAAGTTTGAAAGCATATAATTCTTAAAATTAGGTTTTGATACCTTTGGTGGACTGAGCACAGATAACCCATTGTGTAGCTTTGTGCTTCACAACAAACAAACAAAAATATACTTTTAACATTTGAATCGAGAAGCTATAAAAAAAGGACAAAACATTAAGTGCTAGACAGAAAACTTTAATTCTTAGTTAATTCTGATCATGTTGAGCTTTCATTACTAATGAACTACACCATTTTACAATATCTCTAATAATTAAATACACCATCTAACAATATATCTATATAATAATTAACTACATCCTCTTACAATATATCTATAATAATTAACTACACCCTCTTACAATATATCTATAATAATTAACTACACCCTCTTACAATATATCTATATAATAATTAACTACATCATCTTACAATATGTACATATAATTGTATACATGTGTGCGTGTGCATGGAAAACAAAGTTGACAGATTTGGTTTAAAGCCAGAAATTTTATAAATTATCTGCATACAAGTTTGTGAATGATTCACATTTCTGATAAAAACATTAAATGTTTAAAATATGTCAAATGTAAACAAATAAATTTAATCTATTGACTGCTGTACAGAGTATGGTCTACCACTGGCAGTTGGATGCGATTGTGCTATATAAGGTGTATGGCTTGCAAAAATTCCTCGTGCATTTATAGCAGCTGCAGTCAGTGGATTAAAAATGGAAATTCAAGAATGCAACAATGGTAGACATTAGTAACGTTTAGTTTAGAGGGTTATATATATATATATATATATAAATTTAGCATTTTAAATGTTAACTTACTGTAAAAAACGGAGGGTTTGTGGAGAATCATCACTTTGGTGATGTTCAAAATGAACCAGGAAGAAAATTTAGAGGAAACTCGTGGTAAGTTCGTCAATACGGAGAAAGAATGCTTGAGAGAGATAAACTGTAAAAGCTACAAAGAAAATTGTCTAGAACAATTTTATCAGAAAAAAAATCATTATACATAAAACTCCAAACCAGGTTATCGTATTTTGTCACTTGTGTATAAAGTTAAAATCATAAATAATATTCAACGTTAAAATTGCAACGTCGAAACATGTAGAGTCGTCAAATTTTTGAAGGCCATGGATAGGCCTAAATGAAATGTTTTTAAATGTGTGCCAATTTTAACGTTGAATATTATTTATGATTCCAACCCAGGTATTAGAGCCAAGGTGCAAAATGCCATCACAGTTTCTCAGAAGGCATGTATATAAGAGGTTATCGAGAAAGCAAAACCCAACAAAAATTGTTTACCAATTTATAATTCATACATACAATTGACCAATGATTCAGAGTGCACACCATACTAGAAAGCGTCCCTGCAGGAAATAATAAAAATATATGCATCTATTGCACCACTGAAAATGTAGCAGAAAGAACACAAACCACTACAGTTCTCAGTAAATCAAAAGCAAGATCCTTTTTCAAAATGTCTGGTATAAGTTAAAACCACGTTTTTCATTTTATTACGTTGATTTCAAATTAAGAATTTAGATATAGCTACTTAACAATAGGGAGAGGAAACATACAACACCAAACACGATGCTGAAACCCAAACTCGGCAATAAAGGCAAGAAGAAAAGAAAACTTCCATAAACAGTACATGTTTTCAGAGTTATCACGATAATTTTTGATCAGGAGGGGGAAGAGACATAATCTTAAATCAATAGGTCTAAGTAATATTTCTAAACATGTTTACTTTTTTATTATTATTAATGAAGTGAATCTATTTGTTCGCTTTAATACCAAGAAAAAGAAAAATATGTGTGTGTGTGGTCAAGATGCCCATGTTTAGCGACCCACTGAATGTTTTACACCCTGTGATCCAAATTTAAATATTACAGAACCCTTACCAAAATTCAAATAATAACGTTAATTTATACCATAAGGGAAAGAGTTATAACAATTAACAGACCTAGAATTAAACCTTTTCAACCTGTCGCAGCTAAAAAAAAAAAAAACGTTTGTTTGTTTGTAATTAAACACAAAGCTACACAATGGGAAGTCTATGCTCTTCCCACCACGACTATCGAAACCCGGATCCTGGCATTGTAAGTCCGCAGACATACGGATGTTCCACTGGAGGGCAAATTTGTTTGTCACAGAATATTGTTTGAAGCTATCTGCCTATAGTAATATTTAATTTTGAAATCGCAAAGAGAAAGTGGATAGTTAACAGCGCCCATCACCAACTCTTGTCTGATCGAATAGTGAAATTTATGACACACCCATGGCTCCAAAGTACGGAATGCGTTTTTGAGGTAACGGGTCATGAACCATGAATTCTCAGATTCACAAACCGGATACGCTAATAACTAGATCACACCCATCTCAAAACAGGAAGAAAATTGGATAAATAGATTAAACTTCAAAATAATAATTAAAATTTAAACTAACGACAGCCACGAATTGCTTGATACCACGTTAGTCAACTGGATAAGTACTTCCAGAATTTAAGTTCATCTCCTAAACTTGAACTGAAAGATGGGATGACTGCGTACTGCCTCCACTGTGTTCTACTTCAATTTCAAAACCAACACATAATAACTTAATATGTTTTAAAATAAGTTATAGCAATTTCTGTTGTTGTTCATTGTTCTATTGTTGATGTTTAATTATTGAATCTAAAATTGTCACATGGAGTGTGATGTAAATAATTTAGCCCCAAATTAGTAGTAATGTATAATAAAATCTTATAACTTAGATTAGATAATATTTCATATTCTAAGTCATAATGTCACAAATGATACTAAGCATTTAAATTACTTTATATCAACTTTTGAAATAACCTGAAAGAAATAGTAAAACATTTTACGAAATTAATTTTTTTTATTTAGTTATAACGTTCAAACATTTTAAATTTAAGACAATAAATAAGTTTGAACCAAATTAAATCACCAGCAAAATTTAGCCATTTTTATCAGAAATGTTACAATATTTGTGATCCCCAAAACGTTTATACTGTAAACACTTAATGCTAGATTTAACGGAAATGTAATCTTATTGGATAATAACATCTAAACTATGATTGGCTAAAAGTACTACTTACGACATCGGAAAGGAAGTCGTTTTAGAGGACTGCATGGGATATGACATACAGTCAATTTGAACGGGTTTCAGTTACCAAATCCTATTACGATCTGTAATAAAACAAAAGAAGCGTTTGTAATCAAAATTAAACAGATTTTTTTTTTTAAAAATGTAACTTGATGATATTTTTTGGAATTATATCACAACAGTTTAAAAATACAGCTATCCCATATGATCATGGTTCAATTATAGTAATGTTAGATTTCTAATATTCCTGACAAACCACTGTACCAGGTACATATGTTCCTGCTCGCATGGATCCACAGGTAGATCTCCACAGCGAGCGTCGTGATGTTGGGATTAAACTATATCACATTGGCAAAGAAGGTTGACTACATTTTTAATATTGTTAGGCTAATAGACTAGTTATTACTTAACATGTATACTATATTTTTGTAATTTTTATCAAAGGAAATTTCGCTGCATGGCTTTTAGCATTTTATTTATCACTAGACATTTTACTCACACAAAAGTGATTTGGTAACGCGCCAAGACTGTGAGAATACATTGTTTCACAGAGGTACCCAACGCAACCGCTGCTTACGCGTTTCTTCGGAGAGAGAATTCCCCCGCCTTTTTTTTTTTTGTCAGAGCATCGCCACATTTTATTTGACACAGGAAAAGTCTTTAAATTTTCATCACAGACGACGAATATATTTGCCGTGATAGAAAAATATGATTAGTCTTGATGCTAACAATATTGTTGTTGTTTTTTAAAAACTTAACGTTATGTTTGTTTTGAAACAAGGATGTGTGCCTGTCGCTTGGAGGAAATGCAGCAAACACCACCAAATTACCAAACACTGTGTGGTGACCTGGAAGAATACATAAGAGAAATGGAAAATAGAACTCAAAGCACTAGTGATGGTGATGATGTATACGCTCAACTTATTCAGAAAGAACAAGATTTGATTTTGGCTGCTCAACTAGGAAAGGCACTTCTTGAGAAAAATGAAGAGCTTAGTCTTAATAATGAAAAAATAACAGAACATTATTCAAGAAAACTTGAGGTAAGATAAGGATGTTGGAGCCCTCACATTATGTACAATATATTTGTGTGTGTAACATATTCAGGTTGTTTAATTTCCTTATATTAGATAAAACGTTTATTCAATATTCTTTTGAAAGTAAATCATATTCGCCAGTAAATAGAATATGTGACTTCAATTTTTATAGATAGTGTATATAGATAACAGAAGCAGCAAAGTTATAAGATTATGTGCATTACAACAACAACAAAAAAACAACAACATTTATTGTAGATAAGCCTTTCTGATCGCACTGATTTTATTTCTATACTATTTATGTTAGGAAATAATCTTTTTGTGTTGTTTTTTAAAGGGATATATTATAATTGTCACTTCCTTATAAAACATAACCTAATTTAGTAAATATTGCAAATCGAACAAGAAGAAGTACTTTTGATAGTAAAATTGTGATGCTGAAGCTTTCCTAAAAAAACATTATTTAACCATATATATCTCAAAGATAATATATAGACTGACGTACTTAAAATATTGTATTTAATTTCAAGTCGTACAGAGATCACAATCTAATAATTGAGGAAAAGTCAACATTTATTTTCGGATAATTATGTTTTACATTTAAGAATACAACTTTTATGCGAGGTACTACTATTCAGCGACTTCTATAAACAAAAATTTGGAAAATTTATGTACAGTGATGATTAATAAAATTTAAAATGTTTACATAATATATATGATTTATTTTGTTCTTGAGTCCTCAACGTAAAGAAAACGTTTGAGCTGAGCTGTAATGTTAATACAATAGAATATTTTTTTTTACATTTTGAGAATCAGTGAATATACAAATATAAAAAATATTTCTTTTCATCACGTAGAAAAAAAATAATAATAAACGAGCTCAATTTTATCACTGTACATGTGCTTGTTACTGGAATGGATACGACATGATGTATT